TTGCCCTACATGTTTACTTTGTTTAAACACTTTGAGCCAAATATTTTAGGTGTTATACTATTTTGTCAACAATTTGGTTCATAATTCTTATAAACCAAATTGTAGGGGGCATTTGTTGACACCTAAAATTATTTTCGGTTAATTAAATGCCGCATTAATTAGTCTCGGCATTTAATTCGATACCGCGGGTAAAAAACGGTGTTGTTTGGAGTAGAGCGGCGTCGCGGAGAGTTAAAACGATACCGCAAGGAAGCTCAGCGGTACCGCGACACTGGAAAAGACACCGTTTACCGAAAAACAAAAGGGGGCCGCGCGTTTAGTATAGGTGTTGGAAAATGATTTTTTTCTAATTAATTATTATTTTTATTCCTTGTCGGAAGGGGAGAAGCGATACCACATGAAAACAAGCGGCATCGCGGAGGATTAAAACGGTACCGCTGATTTAAAAACGATGCCGCGAGAGGCCTTGATAAGCGGTGCCGATTAATTAAAAAACCACATCGGGTAAGTGATTGGCCCAAAAATCCGCCCAGCCCAAACGTGCAAAATCGAGGCAATTTAATACGTTGGTATTTCTTTTTATTATTTTAGGCGGTGTGGTTTAAATCAAAACGCTACCGCAAGTAGGCCCAACGGTGCCACGGTACTAGCAAACAACAATGTTGAAAATAAACAGTGTCGCGGAGTAAAAGAAACAAACGGAGCTGATTGGGGAAGAAGCGACACCACAAGGCTGGAAGCGGAGTCGTTTAATATTAAAACGATGTCGCGGGTAGAATCAAGCGGTGCTGTTTAGCTAAAAACGACGCCGCTTAAGGCATCAACGGCGCCGCAATCACTAAGCGATGACGTTCAGTTAGAAATCATACCACAGCGGTTTGGATTTTGGCGAGGCCCGGCAAGCCCAACAGCACTGCAAGACGAGAAAAACGGTACCGCTTGGTAGAGAACAATGTCGCGGAATGAAAAACGACATTGTTTGATGGGACCAGGACGAAGCAGTTCAAGGTCGACATCGATTAGTGAAAAGGGATGCCGCGGAAAGATTAAAAGGCGTCGAGGGATGAGAATTTGACCGCGTGACAATAATGAGCTGGTTTAACTAATTAATCTATTTAATGATTATTTTAGACGGTGTTGTTTGGCTAAAAATGACGCCGCGAGAGAAAACAACACTGCAGATTATAAAACGATAGTGTTTAATATACAACAATGTTGCGAAGAAAAAAAGTAGACAGAGCTGTTTGGAGAATAAAACGACATCGCGTGAGATTCACGCCAACCAGAGAGACTAGGAGATCAAGACAGTTGAGACACGTGGGAGTTCACAACGGAGCAGTTAAGGAAGCGGTTTCACCGAGCGTGAAGACTACGAAGATGTTTTTCGAATAAAAGCAGTGGAGCAAGGAGAGAGAAGGGAACAACCAAAAATCAACACAGATCAACTCTGTTCAAACTTTACCTTTTATCTATAACTCCTTCACGGAGCTCTCCTTCTAGGAAGGATCTCCATAGTTGTAGTCTTAGTCGTAGTCGTGGAGCTCTCCACAGGAATCTCCATAGGAGTAGCGGTAGCGTAGATTCCTCAAAAACTCAAACACCCTCGTTCGAACGTAGTTTGGAGAGGTGCGAACCGTAGTGACGGTCGCGTTGGTTAGCAGTCAGAGGTGCATCGATCAGATCAACATCGCCCGACGGTGGATATTTGACGGTCACATTGATTTCACCATTCAGAGGTGTATCGATCAAATCAACATCGCACGGCGGTGGATATTTGACGATCGTCATCGTTTTCAGAAGTCAGTTGCACCAATCAAATCAACACCGTCCGGTGGATATTTGACGGTCACGTTGATTTCAACATTCAGTGGTGCGTCCGATCAAACGACACTGCAAGAATTTCCATCGCGAAACATCGAATCAACATCGTCGGAAACCAAATTCGGCGCCGGCGGTGGTATTTGGTTTTCCCGAGGAAACACCACTTTCCTTCCAAATCTTTCCCTTCCCCCCTTTTCCGTAATCTTGGATATCCACCCATATACGATCTAGTCGGGTAGGGTAAAACCCAAACCCAAAAGACTTTTAGTGGGTACGGTAAACACCCGAACCCGAATATTGCGGGTAATTGGTGGGCTTGATTTTCTAACTATCCAACCTGAACCCGCCCAATTATACACACGTATATGTATTTTGTCTAGAAATAATCATTATTATTCTCTGACATATTTTATATTTAACATATAAATATAACATTTTCATGAAATTGTGTTGTTTTAATAAATTTTTTTCATTCTAGTGAATAATTGCCGTACATTTCTTCTTATTTAATGTGAGAATACGTGTAGTTGTGAACATGTTGATATGAGTTATAAAGATAAATTATTACCTATGGATAACCATAGATACGCGAAAACCAAAAGGGTATGAGCATAATTTTGATTTTCTACTCGTTTCTTATGTGGGTATAGATATGGGTAAAATCCAAACTAATTTAAATAGGATAATATATATGCACTATCAGCTCTCGACCCAACTCGTTGTCATCGTACTGGCTACGGCTTACCAGTGTCAATAATGCCGATGACAGATTCGGATCCTTGAGAAGAAGAGAAGGTGGAGCCGGGCGAACCCGGATCCGAGTAAATATCTACGCCCGTTTCATACTTGAGAAATTCCCAGGAACGATTTGTGTGGAGCTGGTATAGGGGTGGGCAACGGGACGGGACGGGATACCCGTCCCGTTTTAAATGGGTACCCAGTTCCATTTGGAGGCCAAAGTCCTTCCCATGTCCCAAACCCATATGGGAAACGGGTACCCATTACCCGTACGGGACGGATAACGGGTACCCATAATACCCATAAATACCCAAAGTTTCATTCCCTTGACTGGCTTCATTCCCTTTGACCAGCCATGGAAACTATAAACCAAATCAACATAAACCAAATAGACAGATGCTGGAAATTAGAAACATAATTAGTAATTAGCAGAACAAACCTAACTAGTAATTAAAGTCCAGAATATGTAATGTAAGTAGAAAAGAAAAGAGAATGGCAGCTGCATACCTAAATAGATAACAACGCCGGGTGAATGGTGATGCTGCTGATATTCCCCCGCTCCTAGCTGGGAAAGTTGGCTGCTGCTGGTCTGCTATTGGAGGCGGCGCAGCAGAGTGAGAAGAAGGAAGCCGCCGCGGCCCGCGCCGGTGAATGAAGGAGGAAGCTCGCGGAGCGGCGGAGACGTGGAGGCGGAGCTAGCGAGCTAGGTCTCACTGTCGGCCTGTCGCTGAGGTTGGCGCTGCGGCTGCGGCTGCGCTGGGTGGAGGACGCTGTCTCACACTCTCGCTGTCTAACTGTCTCGTAGTTAAGTGAAAGCCGAAAGGGAATAGGCAGCCAGGCAGGGTAAGGGTCGACTAAGGGTAAGAGCCGAAATGGCCAAGGCCCAATGCCACATTTCTGAATTAGTGAATTGGGTTGGGGTGTTGGGCTATGGGCTATTTCTGGTAAATGGGTATAACGGGTACCCACATTACCCAAACGGATATTTGCGGGTAACCCGCGGGTACCCATATTAGGAATGTACAATCCCAAGTCCCATCCGTTTATAATAATACGGGTAATATGGGTACCCGTAACCCTTAAAAAATGAGACGGGTACGGGTATACCCAAATACCCATTTCCCGTTGCCCACCCCTAAGCTGGTAGTAAGCATCGGGGAAAACAGAGAGCACCGCGGGCTGCTTAGCGATGGATTGGGCCTCAGCCGCCGTCAAACGGGCCGTAAAGCCCGATATTCCATGCTTGTAGGTGCGGACCACAACATCCTTTCTCCTGTCAAAGACAACAACCATTTTGCTTAAATATGAGAAACTTATTATCAGTGTTATTAAGCATTAGTAAATATTATGTTCCAGGTAAAGTAGCTTGCTAAGAAAAAACTGATGCACCATAAACTAACCAAATTTAACACGAATTTTACTATTTACTTCGTAATGTAGTCATTCGAACCGGTCTCGACTAGTATAGTCAATTATTATTCAAATTTCCTATGATATGAATAAAAGTTTATACCATAAAAAAAGGAATTAAAAGACTCAATACATGTGAAACATACTTATATCTATTTTCACCTAACTAGTTAAGAATAAGATTAAGTATAATACGTCTATTATTTGTTTTTATTAATTTACTATGCATTTCTTATATTTCAGGGCGTTCAAACTATGTATCAATTGTTGTTGACGGTTTTCATATGAAAATTTTATAGAGGACTATTTGATAACAAGTATGAGAGCATGTCAGATGATAAAAATAATAGAAGAATGTATTTGATAAAAATTTAAAAACGCATAATAGCATAACATATTATAGCTATAAGTGTTAATAAAGCTCACAATTTCAAGACAGAGTTGAGAAGCTGGGCTTTGTGACGTGTTGAGTCCCCATTTTGTGGAGTAGTGGCTCCCATGTAAGCTATGTAAACCCCATCTTTGGATGCCTTGGCTGTTGCTGCGAGAGTCTCCCAAGGAGAGTAGTAGGGCAACACAAATAGCATACAACAGAAAGAAAGGCTATTTATAGGAAGAGGGTGGTTCTTTTTTTTGGTAAGCAGGGAGTAATGGATCAAACAACCAGATTAACATCCACCCAAAGTGCGCTAGTGTTTATATGGCGGCTATCCATTATAGCCTTATAGGTAATGGACTAATGGTGGTAGTGGTGATGGTGGTTGTGGTGGTACGGACACTTGTGGTGGCACGTGATAATAAACACAAACACAAATACGAGAGATAGAGAGACGAGAGATCGAGAGACGCAAGATTTATGTGGTTTCCTTAACGATGATCGTCAAGACTATTTCACGGCACAAGACAGAGATCGAATCTTATTTAGAGAATCGTTACAGTGGTCTGCCATCTACACAAGGATATATACTAGCCAACCGAGAACCCTAGCTCCTACTCACATCATTAATATGTACAAAATAGTACATTTACTTCTAACACCCTCCCTCAAATTGATGATGCTGATGTAACATCAATTTGTGTGCTAGAAACCAATGACGTGTAGTAGACACCGCTTTAGTCAATAGGTCAGCCGATTGATCTTCAAAGCTGATGTAGGTAAGTTCGACTATCCCTTCAGTGACCAGCTGACGAACATAATGGATATGCACTTCAATATGTTTGGTTCTGTCATGTAACACCAGATTGGTTGCAATACGAATGGCACTCGTATTGTCAACATGTAGGCGAATCAGAGAAGGGCACTGAACACCCAACTCGCCCAACAGTCTCCTCAACCACTCAATTAGAGTGGCGCAGCGGAAGCGTGGTGGGCCCATAACCCACAGGTCCCTGGATCGGAACCAGGCTCTAATACCATGTCAAGAACCAGTTGATCCCAATAACTCGAGTTGTTGGGAGAGGTTCAATCGTGGATCATATACCACAACACTAACAACACGTTGATTTTGTAGGAAAAATTGATGAAGAAACCATACACAAACCATGGCTATTTATAGTCAAGTTCCAACACTAAATTGTGGCTTAAATTTTGCCATGCTTAACTACCACTTCACACCTACTTAACCCCACAAATATCTACCCATTTGTGGTTCTTTTTTCCCCCTTCTTTTTCTTAATCCATAACTACCCACATTAATACAATTTCTAGATAACTCCATACACCTAGCTGTGATGTTACATTTTTTAATTGAACTTTATTTTTCAATGCTCCCTCTTAAAGTTTAATTTACCATTACTTCGAGTAGTGTTCGTATCATGCTGGAGTAGTGTCTTCACATGCTTCAGCGTCACCAACACTCTTCTGCTTCTTGATCATTCCAAGTTCGCTTCTGAACTCTTCAAACTTGACCCGCGAAAGTGCTTCAGTGAAAATATCTGCAGCCTGGTCTCCAGTCTTCACTGCTTTCATCTCTATCTCTTCCTTCAGCACTTTCTCTCGAAGAAAATGATGAAGGTCCTTCAAAAGTTGCACTAGCCAGGTGCACTCTTGTGATTCCATTTCTACCGTTCTATATTCGGCCTTTGTACTTGACAGCGAAACAATCGGTTGCCTTTTAGTGCACCACGACACTGCTCCTGAACCGAGTGTGAACACATATCCTGTTGTTGAACGACGAGTGTCTAGGTCTCCAGCATAATCAGCATCACAATAACCTTCAAGCTTGCAGTATGCTCCCTTCTTGTATAATATCCCATGATCAATGGTTCCTTTGACATATCTCAAGACTCTTTTGATGATCTCTAGGTCAACCTTCTTGGGATTCTGCATGAAACGGCTAACGACTCCAACTGCATAAGAAATGTCCGGACGAGTCAAAGTTAGGTAGATCAAACTACCCTCAAGTTGTCTATACATCGTCACGTCTTCTAAATATTTTCCTTATTGTCAGTTGAGTTTAACGTTAGCCTCCATCGGTGTTGTCATTGGTTTGCACTCTTGTACCCCGAACTTATCTAGCAACACTATGACATATCTCCGCTGACTGAGAAATAAGTCATCTTCTCTTTTCTCGACTTCAAGTCCAAGAAAGTGCTTCAGCTCTCCAAGCTCCTTCATTTGGAACCTTATGGATAGATTTATTCGAGTTCGATTGATTTCTTCTTCATCATCTCCAGTCACGATCAAGTCATCAACATAATCTAACACAATTGCTAATTTTTTGTCTTGCTCCTTGACAAATAAACTTGAATCTGACGGATTGACAGAGTATCCGCATTGGAGTAGAAATTCTCCAATCTTCCGGTACCAAGCTCGAGGCGCCTGCTTCAGACAGTATAGGGCTTTCTTGAGCTTACAAAAATAGTCGAAGTTTGTGCTCTCAAACCCTCTACGTTGCTCCATGTAGATCTCTCGATCAAGCTCTCCATGTAAGAAAACATTCTTCACATCTAGCTGCCCCATTCTCCAAGACTTACTGGCTGCAAGTGTTAAGAGTACGCGGACAGTTGTGATCTTGGCAACTGGACTAAATGTTTTGTCATAATCCAGCCCATATTGTTGAGAAAATCCACGAGCCACCAATCGAGCCTTGAAGCGCTCAATTGATCCATCTGACTTGGTCTTCACTTTATAAACTCATTTGCAGGATATGGGTTTAACATCTTCAGGCTTTGGTACGAATTCCCATGTTTGATTCTACTCGAGAGCTTGAATCTCTTCTTTCATAGCGTTTCTTCATTCACCATGTTTTGCCGCTTCTTCGTAAGATGTTGGTTCTCTTACGCCAATATCTTCTATCATGACTACATGGGAAATTTGGGATTTGGCTTTGTAGCCCTTTTCGACCTTCTGAGCTCTTGTTGAGGATCAACAATATGATCCAGTTGACTAGGTCGTTCTTCTTTTGTGACATGCTGGTGAACTCCAGACTTCCAAGGACTCTTGCCTTTTTCAGGAGAGCGAGTTTGAGCTCTCGCAGAGCTTTCTCCTTCTTCAGTTTTTGTTGTTTTCACCTCTTCTTTAATAGACCTCTCTAGCAACCTCTCCTCCATCTCCTTTGAGTCTGGAAGTAGGACTGCTTCTGGTGACCACCAGGAGGATGCTTCATCAAACACTACGTTGCGTGACACACAACAGTTTCATGTTGTTGGGTCACAACATCTCCATTCTTTCCTTTGATTGTCATAGCCCACAAAAATGCATCGAACCGCCTTTTTGTCAAACTTTATTTGAGCATGGTCTGGTACAAACACATAGCACACACAACCAAATACTCGGAAATGGATGACGTTGGGCTTCAACTTCCACAATTTCTCATAGGGTGATACAAACCCCAACTTGGCTGAGGTAGTCTGTTGACAACATGAGCAACAGTCTTCATGCATTCTGCCCAAAACTTGGGAGGAACATTTTTTGACGGTTCTTCCTCTTTGCTACTCCATTTTGTTGTGGAGTACCAGGGCAGGTCAACTGGCGTCATATTTGATGTTGCTTGAGAAATTGTGTGAAAATGATTGAGGTGTACTCTCCTCCATTGTCTGTACGAAGACACCTGATCTTCTGACAGACTTCGCCTTCGACAAGTTCTTTGAACATTTTGAACTTTTCAAATGCCTCAGATTTCTCTTTCATGAAGTAAACCCAGACATATCTTGAGAAATCATCAATTAATTTAATCATGTACTTCATTCCAGACATTGAGGTCTTCTTCACTAATCCAAACACGTCTGAATGGACAATCTCTAGAGGCGTTTTGGACTTGAACTTTGAGTCTTCATAGGGTAGTTGATGTGATTTCCCATATTGGCATCCAGCACATACGATATTGTCACGGATATCAAGTTGAGGAAGTCCTTTGAGCATGTACTTCTTCATCATCACCATGAGCTTCTAATAGCCAACGTGTCCAAGATGAGCATGCCATAAGCTTTTCGTCTCATTTCTTCTTGTTTTGTCAACACAAGTAGCTTCTGCTGACATTACATAGACAGACTCCAGCTTCTGCCCTTGTATGATCGGATCAGAAGTTGGTTGTAAGCTTCGATACACCTTCACATCTCTCGGACTGAATACCACATAATTGCCAGATGCGGTAAGTTGTGATACTGACATCAGATTCTTTTGCATTCCACGGACGTGGTAAACGTTTGACAGCTCCACTTGTTGATCTCCAAACCGAGGAGTAATAATTGTCTCGCCGATGTGGGTGATTGGCAACTTAGAGTTGTTGGCAGTGAAAACCACTCGTCCAGCTTTGTACTCGAACACGTTTAACAACAACTGTTCATCACCAGTCATGTGATTTGAACATCTCGAATCCACAATCCAATCATTTTCATAATGAATGACATTCTTGTCCACTAACATAAGCGCTAGCTCTTCAGTGGTTCCTTTTGGAGCTTCCGTTGCAAAGGATGCTTGAAAGTCCCATTCATCATCATTCACCTTGTAAGACGTTGCAACGTTTCCTTCTTCCTTTTTCTGCCAGCAATCTCTGGCTAGATGACCCTTCTTGTGGCAAATATAAAAATTGCCATTTTCTCGATCATGCTCCTCCCTGTCCTTTCCGTCACCACCTTTGTTACGGTGGTTGTAACTTTTCTAGGCTCCCCCTCGGTAGTTGCCTCCTTTCTTGTTCCACTTTTGGTTCTTCTTGAACCCCTTTTGGCCGCTTCTCAATGAAAGAGCCTTCTCTCCACCATTAGAGTCTTTAATTTAGCTGAGCAGTGCCTTCTCCTCTTTCTTGAATGATGCCTTTGACATCTTGTCATCAAGAATTTCTTCATTTTCTAGAAGATTCTCCAACTCAGGTAGGGTTGGCTCCTTTGACCACCCTCTTGTTGTTGTCACTATGCCCTTGAACTTCGCTCTCAAGCCACGAATGATGATTCTTCTTGTCCGAGCTTTCAAAATTGGATTTTCAGGATCCAGTTTCGAAATTTGGGCACAAACATTTTTTACTTAGTTGAAATATTGACCAATGGTCAATGTTTCTTGGGATAGTGACATCAATCTCCAGTCTCTGGAGTCTAGCCTCATTGGTCCTGGCCAAGATTGTGGAGAGAGTATCCCAAGCTTCCTTCTAGGATTTGCTTTCCTTGATGCGAGGCAGGAATTGATCTTCTGTTGTGACTGCAATGGTGTACATGATCTTGTGTGCCTTTTGCTTCCAATCCTCCAGCAGCTTCTCATCAATTGGTGGTGGGACAATGATAATTTCCCAAAGCCTTTGGCCTCTGAGATACAACTCCATATGGGTGCTCCAACTTGAGTAGTTGGTCTCGTTCAATTTCTCCATAGTGGTAACTGAGAAACCCTCCATCTTCTTACTTGGAAACTTCTCCAAGTTCTCTATTTTATTCTTACTGAAATAACTGCATCCTCTGACCGCCTGATGAGGATCTCGTCACTACTGGCTCTCGGTTGAATCAATTTTGATAACAATGCACAAGAAACCCTTTTCGGATGTGGAAGATTGGCCTATACCGCAACCACAGAGCATACGATGAATAACCCTGGCAAGGATAATAAAGCACAAGGAACCCTTTTATGATGTGGAAGATTGGCCTATACTGCAACCACAGAGCATACGAGAAGTACCATTGGCTCTGATACCACTCATAGGATAATTGGATCAAAATGCTCACACACTCTCTTTATTTCTTCACCTTCCCACAACTCACAAATACTCAAACAGTCTCTTCTTTATTTGTTCTTATTTGCTTTGCTTTTCTTGGGATGAATAAACCATACACCAACCATGGCTATTTATAGCCAAGTTCCAACACTAAATTGTGGCTTAAACTTAACCACACTTAACTACCACTTCACACCTACTTAACCCCAGAAATATCTACCCATTTGTGATTCTTTTTTCTTCTTCTTTTTCTTAATCCATAACTACTCACATTAATACAATTTCTAGATAACTCCACACACTTCACAACTCTAACTAGTTGTGATGTTACATTTTTTTAATTAAACTTTATTTTTCAATAGATTTTGTCACAACTCATAAGTGCATGACGTGATCCTCTATGAAACCAACAATTTTTAGCATGGGAAATGAACCCTAAGAGCATGACTCGCTATGACCGCTACTAGTTCATTCTTTTGCGTAGAGATTTATGTAAGAATTAAGAGATTATACAGGCCTCAGTTCTGTTAGCTAACTGTAGTCTTATAATTTTTTATGATTTCTTTTTGAATGCGAGTATAATGAGAATCCAAGTGAGATAAACCTTTTTTATGGTTAAATAAAAAATAGCATTAAGCACCTGACACCAATAGCAAACCGCTATAGTGCCATCAAATCACAATCAAGTTTTTAAACCAAACCCCCAACAATTAAACGTGAGGAACTCTATAAGACAAACAAAAATTATCCCAAACCCCTTGCTTCGAAGCAATCCAGCAACCCCTTATCAAGAAGGCATCTACACCTAATAATATGGTTAGCCTCAAGCACCAACTGAGAAGGATCCCTAGCTTCCCTGGAACCATACAACTGCGAGCAGCGTTCACGCCATACAAAATAAACTGCAACACTCTAGCACATTCGACTCAAAGCATTAGTAGACAATCCCCCTTTCCATTTTCGGGTGCACCATTGAAGAAAAACATGCCAATCAGCAAGGACTGGAGGATCACCCTGGAAAAGCTTTCTATTCATATATTGCATATAAGGACAAACAACAAACAAGTGCCAGCGATCCTCCACACCCTAGGACACATCAAGCAAAAACCAGACCTGCTTCCCCCAAGCAAGGAGTTTATCCTACAACTTCAAACGATCATTAATTACCAACCACAAAAAAAAACCATGCCGGGGAATTATATTTTTGTCCCAAGATACCAAAGTGTCATGCTGCCGTAGGGAGTTACACACTCTCCTAATAGAGTATGGGTCCATACGCTCACCATTCCACTTTTAAACAAACTCACTGAGAGAAATAAAGGGTCTAGCCAAGTCCCTACACTTCATAATTCTCTTCCAAATCCAGGAACCAGTAGTTGTAACCTTCACATCCCACACTGAGGTATGTTTAATTTTATATCGTGTGACCCAGGCAACCCACAAGGACCCCTCTGCAGCCAGTATTGCCCAAAGATGCATGTAGACACAAGCCTTATTCTAGATAGAGAATTTTCTAATACCCACCCACCCCTTCCTTCTTAGGACAGGCAATGAATTGCTACGAAGCATCAACACGTTTACGTATTGAGTTATCATCAATGTCCCACAGAAATATGTTGCAAATGGACTCCACCTCTTTAATAACAAACTTGGGAAGCAGAAAAATCCCCATCCAGAACTGTAACACACTAGTTAAGACTGATGAAATCAATTGAAGCTGACCAGCAAAACTAAGGGTCTTCGACCTCCAGGTACTGATCTTACTAGTAATTTTATCAATAAAAACTTTGCATTAAGATCTAGTAAGTTTAACTGTTATAAGAGGGACTCGCAAGTAACGAACATGTAATTGACCAGCAGGGAACTTTGAATATCCTGAAATTATTTATTGCTCACCCTCTGAAATACCTCCACAGAATAATTGGCATTTCTCCGGATTGCATTTCAGCCCTGAAATAGAGTAGAAAGCCTCCAAAACCCTATAAAGTCCAGCAACCCCCCTAATCGAACCATTCGTGAACACAAACAAATCATCAGCAAAACACTAGTGTGTAATTGCTAATGGTTTACACCTTGGGTGAAATGGAATTTGATCCTGCATAATAGCCTTCTTAAGCATCGCATCAAGAACTTCCATTGCTACTGTGAACAAGTAAGGGGACAAAGGGTCCCCTTATCTCAAGCCACGCTTCATGTAAAAAAAACCACAGATGCCACCATTCAATCCCACGCTCACTCTAGGGGACTCAACACATGCTCTCAACCATGTAATAAACAGACCATGTAATCCCATAAATTCAAGCACAGTAAAAAGAAACGACCAATTAACCGAACCAAAAGCTTTCATGATATCGATTTTAATAGCACATCGAGGGGTAATATGCTTCTTATGATAATCTTTCACTAGTTCAACAGCCAAAAGTATATTATCAATAATGGAACGCCCCTTAATGAAGGTAGACTGAGAGGAAGAGATGAGAAAAGGCAGAACAATTGCTAACCTGTTGGCTAAAATATTGGTAATTCCTTTGTAATGCGTGTTGCACCAAGAAATTGGACCAAAGTCCTTCATTCTCTTTGCATTAGGAATTTTAGTCACTAGTGTAAACAGTGTAGAGTTAAGAACTTTTGGCATCATCCCTGATTCAAAGAAATGGAGGGCTACATCCTCAACCAGGGAGCTGATTAGATCCCAATGGAGTCTAAAGAATTCAGAGGGGAAGCCATTAGGGCTAGGGGCCTTGTCTTTCCCAAGACTGAAGAAAACCTTATTTACCTCCTCTCTGGTAACTAGAGGAGTCATTGAATTTGCATCCTCAGCCGAAAGGTGTTTGAGAGATAAGAAGTGATAAAAACTTATAGGCTAACTCAAAACATCAGAATTGACTTCTCCAATCAAGTGCTTGTAGAAGTTTACTGCAACTAGGCCTATCTCTTTCACATCAGTCACTTCCCTTCCATGCTCATCCAAAAGTCTAGTAATTTGCTGCCTGTGCTTATGAATCTTCACTGTTCTATGAAAGAATGCATTATTTAGATCACCCTCCTGTACACTTTGAGTACGATTTTTTTGCTTATAAAATCTCTCCTCTGCTCTCTTTAGATCCTGACACTAAACCAAAATCCCCTCCTCTTCCATCTCCCTAACTTGAGCAGAGATGTCAGAATAGACTTCCTTATTCAGCCTCCTCAAGCTATTTTTCACTTTCCTCAATATACCATAGAATATATAGTAGGGCCACCCATCCACTTGAAAAGTCCAGACATCAAATACCAGTTGCATATAAGAGGGGTGACTCACCCAGAATTTAAAATACTTGAAAGGCTTAGTTAACTATCCACCTGGGGAACCGGGGTCAACAAAATCCCACAATGATCAGACATCCCCTAGGGGAGAGGTACAAGTTGAACTTGTAGGGAAACAAGACAACCAAGCTTCATTGATGAGAGCCTTATCAAGCCTCTTGGCAATAGGATCCCCCCTCTGTTTGTTCGACCATGTGAAAAACTCCCAATTACTTTATGATCAAGCAACTGCATCTCCTCTATCCCAGTTTTTAAAATCTACCATGCTTGGAGAAAGAACGGTAGTGTTTGAAGCTTCACTCGGGTCCCTGACAGCATTGAAATCACCAACCACAACCATAGGAAGTAGTAGTTCCTTCTGAGCCAAGATTTCCTTATACAAAAGCACCCTCTCTGCCTCTTTATTAGGACTGTAGACAACCATCATAATCATAGGAATGGGACCTCCAACCAGGACTTTCAAGAAATGCTTCCCATCATCCAACTTTGTAATAGTTAAATCATTCCTCCCAAACAACCATATTCTGCCATTTGGGGACTTGGGGTAATTATTCAAATTTTGTAAGTGACTAAAATTTTTTGTAATAATATTCACATTATCTACTTTTGTTACTCTATTTTCTATAATAGGTATAAGATCAAGTTCCAAAACATGTAACTTCTTAAGCACTATTGTGTGCTTCTCAGAGGCATTGAAACCCTGATATTCCAGCACAAGATCTTCATTTTCCGCGTTTCTTGCCTCTCCCTCTAACTCGTGCAGGGGCAGGTGGGGGAGGCTCAACACTCTTTCTCCAGACAGGCTTACTCAGGGAAGGGTAGGCAACACCATTCAAAGCCGATTTTCTAGGACCAAAATAGAGATTCCATGGACTCTTAATAGCAGAGGCTGGATCAGGAGCCCTAACCCTGTTCTTCTTCTTATTAGTAACCATTTGAAAACCCTCTTCATCAGTTCCCGAAAGACTCCTGGACGAGCTCCCTACTACACTACCAGATTTAGGACCCAAAACAGTAGATACCCCTTTACTTTCAGTCTCCACAATAGTCGGAGGGACATTATCCTTGGTTCAATAATGAACATTTCTTTTCACGTTATGCATACAAATTTATATACAAAACGTCTTTCTTAGTTCCATAATGAAATTTAGGAAAGAAAATAATATATGTTGAACCAATTAGCTAGTTAGGCTGACTCCAACGCTACCTTCAAATTTGGGGAAGGCACTATTTTTGGCAATTGTTCAGCTTCAATGGGGACCAATAAATAGGGAAGAGCGCTATTTTTGGAGGAAGTCGGCATTTCATCCCCCAAATTTGGTGGAGGGAATGGTGATGCCGACATTTATGGGGACTGAGTGTGGTTATGGCGGGACAACCGCCAGCCTCAGGCTGTGCTCCACTCGTTGTATGCTGCGTTTGGAAAGGATGAATCGCTCCAGAAAAGGAATCTAATAATTCTCTCCGAGCAATAACTTTTTTTATTTTAATTAATGATATGATTAAGGGTTTAATTAGGTAATTGTGGGATTGATTATGATTTATGAGTTTAAATATGGTAATCTAGGTCAATTAGTTATGGGATTGATTAGTTATTTATTTAGGGTAACCTAGGTCAATTAATTATGGGATTGATTAGTGATTTAATTATGAGATTGCCAAAAAAAATTTGGTCTCAGCATTTAAAAAAATTCTATCGAAATAATTGTATTAAAAAATGATGACGAACTATACAAAAATTAAGATGGACAAATTATATTAACGCTTTCATAAGTACATTTTTAAGTAAATGAAAAACTGAAAAAAGTGGTCCCCAAATTTGGAGAATGTAACATTGGAGTAAAAAGTTATGCGAAATAAAAAAAAATTCATGTTGTTTGGATTTTGGAGCACAAAGTTATGGTTGTCCAAAGTTTGACGAAATCGGAAAAAAGCTCGTTCGGGGTAGCAAACGACATTTTTTGGGATGAAGGCGGGACCAAACCACCTTTGGCTTGCAAGATCTCAAAAAGTTATGCGGAATCAAAAAACAATTTGCGACGATTGGATACCCGAACACAAAGATACGTCCGTTTGAAGTTTCCACCTAGGTTAGGATTTTTCAAAAAAAAAAAAAACAGATCGCACCCTGGGGGTGCGATCTGCAACCAAATCGCACCCTGGGGGTGCGGTCTGCAAAACCGCCCCCTGGGGGTGCGATTTTCATCGAAAAACGTGCCCCTGGGTGGCGGTTTTCGCCTAAACCGCACTGGTAGGGAGTGATTTTTGGAAAAGGGTGCTATTTTTGGAATTTTTCGGACTTAGGTGCTATTTTAAGATTTTTTTTTTTAAACAGTGCTATTTCTGAAAAAATCCTCAAATTTGGGGACTTGCATTGAAGTTGGCCTTAGCAGCCTGGGTTCTTCACGTGCAAGCAAAACACAAGTACACAAAGTTGCACAAACATGAAACTAAAAAGGAAATAAAAAAACGTTCATGAACCTAGAGTTCATGATGTTTAGCCTAAAGCCAGTTTACTAGTCCACCAATTCTCCATCCAAGTCCGTGAAGTGACATCTTCTCTGCCTCCTGCGCCCTCTCTGCCAAGCTCCATCCCCCAGAGTTTCCCTTGCCCCTATGGGAGAGCCCACCTGAATTCAAGCATCCTCCGTCTATATAACTCGGCCAAACCACCTGTAGGGTACCTTCCTCCATCTACGTACTACCCTAGCATGGACTTCATAGGCCATTATGACTACGTATGGGCCTAGCTACATGATGGACTAATAAATATCAATTGCAAAAGTTTGATATGCTAACAACCTCCCCAAATTCAAGTCCATCCCTCAGCATCAATTTTTCTTCCAAATACTTGTGACAACTCAGTTTGATGAAGCTTTAGGATTGAAGGACGTAACGGAGGTAGAAATGAACGTCTCGCCCTCACTCGGATGAACATCAAACTAAGCATGAGTTCTCAGGCAGATTACCTCGCGAACCAAGTGAGCCAGTACCCCATCAAATCGTACATCATCCCTATTCAAAAGAGTATATCGAACACTCACAAATTCAGACCTTCAACGCATAAGTTATTGTATTAACCTGGTTTGCTGCCTCTCGTTCAACATCTCTTCAAAAGTTGTCATCTCGGGTTGCAATGCCGCATTGAGTAAGTCCTGCTTCATCCACAGCTTCCGGGTGGCATTGAAATACTCTGTGATCGTTTGATCCCTTTGCTCTAGGCCTCCCAGATTTAGTCGCGGTTGGCTCTGATACCATGATAACAAACAAATCATAAATAACAAAAACAGAAACGAAAACAGATCATATTATGCTAATAGCCTCTCTCTCGAGAGTTTAGTCTTCTTGTTTAGTCGTTATCTCTTCTTGTTTAGTCGTCATCCTTCGAGGGGGAATTAAAGTCAGTTTATTTTATACGCCTCCAGATTCCAGGTATCATTGTCCAACATACATCAAGCCAAATCGAACCAAACCACACTTGTTATTTTGTTTCCATACTTCTTTATTGCAGAAGGTGCAATTAACTAGCTAGCCACTAGCTAGTTCTTTATGCCTTGCGCATTCAACTACTACTCACTACAAATGGAGTCCTAACTTTGAACTTGTCGCTGCTCCATGTAATCGACCCAAACACATCCCCTTCCGCCGACGAACCAGCCATGGTCGAAAACGTCGCATAGTAAGTCAGCTTCTGGCCGCTCTTAGTGAACTTCAGCTGAGACGGAGAGACATGCACGTTCACACCTTTGCCCCCAACGCTCGCAGATAAGGTGTATGTTGATGAATCGCCGTCGCCGGTAGCGACGTTCGTCAATGTCCTGGTGATGTTCCTACTCTGTTTCTGGCCGAGCTTGACCGAGATTGAGGGGTAGTTGATGTCCGAGATGAGGTCGGGGGTGGAGTTGTTGGGACAGGCGAAGTTGGGCGGGATGGACTTGGCGATGAGCTTGATGGTGGTTGTGTTGTAGCCGTGGTAGCACAGGAAGTTGAGGTAGTCGACGGTGGTGGTCTCGTAGACTAGCCCCGGCTGTAGCGGCGCGGTTGGGCTCATCTCTCCGGCGCCGTAGTCGAAGGGCGTGGCTGTTGCGCCGAAGTGTGTGGTTATTGGCGACTTGTCGTTGTTCAGCTGTGATGCTGCAAGGTCCAAAAACAGCATTAAATTAGTTGTAAAGACATTCAATAATAGATCTTATGTTACATGTAAGGGACTGAAGTTTGTACAAATATTCCGAATATCATGTGGTTAACAAGTAATTAAGAGTTTTTTAAAACTTCTAAATCACAGAAGACTAATATCATATAAAAAATAAATAAATAAAAAGTTGTTTCCAATATATCGGATTGTTACCACGTACGTACTACAAATAACGAAGACTGAAACTTTGATTAGGACAGTAGTTTCGATCTGAACCTGTTGTCATAATGGCGGATTTGATCTCAGAAGGGCCGAACGAAGGGTTGTGCGATTTAACCACTGCGGCAATGCCTGACACGTGTGGGCAAGACATGGAAGTTCCAGAGATTACGTTGAACATTGATGGGTCCTTGCCTTCGGGAGTCCCACCTAAATCGTTGCCCATCCAAGCGGCTAGTATGTTAACTCCGGGTGCTGCAATATCAGGCTGCGAGTTTCAAATGCAAGATAAGATAGCCAGTGGAAGAAATGTGATGTGACGACAGCAATGAGAAAAAGGTGGGTGTTTGCTTGCCTTGATGATGTTTTCTGAATTTTGGGAAGGACCTCTGGCTGAGAAATATGCAATCTCAGGTGCCGGTTTATACTTGGGAGTTGCCACCGTGGGTAGAATCGTTGCAACTGGGTTTCTGATGAGATTGCTCATGTTAATTAATCATCAGTGGGTTGCTTTATAATTAATATTCTCATTCTAACAAATCTGAATATATATTTGGAAATATAAAGTATAGTCGATTCTTGAAACATGCATCTTACTTGGTTGAGTTGATATAAGAAAGGATTTCAGGAACATCCTTCGAACTCATAACTACAGCTGGAAACTTCTTAAAAGTAGAAGCAACTCGTCTCGTCAAATCATCAACCAAAATTACACCTACTCCGCCCTGAGAGCGCACCTCTTCTTCCTTCTCGAAAAGTGAGTATCCTGGATCTTTGCTCTCGCACAGAACAATGGTTCCGTTAATTTTAGCCTTGTCAATGGATCCTGAAATGCAGTTTCTAAACCAAAATAAAACATGTCAAACTACTTGATTGTCCTTAATACGTACTTAAAATTAAGTAGTCATAAAAAAAATGATTGAATTCTACCTTGCACTTGCTTCGGATGCATCTGATTTCATGGCCGTCTTACCATACATCAATGGGTACACGGGGGATTTTTGAAGTTTCGAGAAATTTATAGCTTCACCCTAAGTAATTGAAATGTAAATTAAAATACAACTCGAAATCTCAAAATTATTATGTCGAGAAATTTAACTGCCACGTCATTTATTTAACGGTCAACTATGAGAGTTGACCGCCACATCAATAAAAGTTATCGGAGACTGATGGCCAGTGACCAAAATTGGAATGTGTAACTAATTTGTGTGACTACAAACGAAATAAATTAATTTTAATGACAAACATAAACTTTTATAGTAATTCTATTGACCAAACTTGCAATTTACTCCAAAAATATAATACAGTATTTCGTAATGATATCTAAATAAAGATGAAAGAAACGGCAATTACCTTGACGACTTTGCCTCCACCTAAAACGACATCGGACTCGAAATCCCTGTCAATAGTCGTTGCAGCCACGGTCAGAATCCACGGCGCAGCATTCACCACCGTGGCCGAGTCAGGGCCGTCGTTCCCGGCGGAGCAGACCACCGTTATCCCGCTCTCTACGGCGTGGAACGCTCCTATGGAGATCGTGTCGTCCTTAAAATCCGGCATCGAAAGCGAAGAGGCGCCGAGGGAGACAGACAGAACGTCGACTCCGTCGGCGATCGCGTCGTCGAACGCCGCCAGGATGCTGGAGCTCCGGCAACCCGCCGGCGTGCAGACCCGGTACACGGCGATTCTAGAACCGGGGGACCCACCTCTCGCCGTTCCCGCAGCGAGACCGTAGTAAGATGCGTTTTGGACCTCGACCCCGGCGGCGGTGGACGCCACGTGGGTGCCGTGGCCGACGAAATCCCGTGGGGTGAGGTAGTCGTCGTCATCGTCGTCTTCCGGGTCGTTGTAATATCTTGCTCCAATTATTTTCCTGTTCGTTACATAGTTATGTTAGAATTGGAGTACAAATTTCATGAATTCAATGAATCTATGATTTAAATCTTTTTTCCCGACCGACTACTAGTACGTACTTACCCATTACAGCTAGTTGAGGTAAAATCTTGTGCTGTCATGCAGGTTCCATTCCAGCTGGATAGTTTTGGGTCACTACTTTTTGCATCAAAACTCTTCGATTCAGGCCAAATTCCTGATCATCCATGATAATGGGTAATATGATGCAATATTGACCACTTTCAACCGATCGAATGATAAATGGAGTGAAGCCAACTAAACGTTCCCTTACGACTTACCAGTATCAATAATGCCAATGACGGTATCGGATCCATGAGAAGAAGAGGAGGTGGAGCCGGGCGAACCCGGATCCGAGTAAATATCCACGCCCGTTTCATACTTTAGAAATTCCCAGGAACGAGTTGTGTGGAGCTGGTAGTAAGCATCGGGGAAAACAGAGACCACACCGGGCTGCTTAGCGATGGATTGGGCCTCAGCCGCCGTCAAACGGGCCGCAAAGCCCGATATTCCATACTTATAGGTGCGGACCACAGCATCCTTTCTCCTGACAAAGACAACCACCATTTTGCTTAAATATGAGAAACTTATTATCAGTGTTATTAATCAGTCATATTATGTTCCATTCCATGTAAAGTAGCTTGCTAATAAAAAAAACTTACTGCATCATAATAACCAAATTTAACTCTAATTTTACTATTTACTGGGTAATGTCGTTATTCAAATCGACCTCGACTAGTATAGTCATAACTTATTCAAATTTTCAACGATACGAATATAAGTTTATAGCTCAAGTAGGAGTTAAAAGACTCGATACATGTGAAACATACATATAATCTAGTTTCACCTAAATATTTAAGAAAAAAAAGATTATAGGTGTAATATGTCTATCATAATCATATATGTGCTTTTACCATGCATTTCATATATTTCATTTCCTTCAAACCATGGTTTAATCGTGGTCACAGTTTTCAAATGAAAAATTTATTAGACTTGAACATTTTTAGGGTAATATCTATTTTTTATCCTAATTTTTTTCAGATTCTTTTATATTATCCAAATCTAAATACTAAGAATTAGCCAAATGTTAACTTTCAGTTAGCAATTTTGTTAGTAATATTGACTTGGCAACATAATACTGACTTGGAATATACACATGAAGGTCAACATTTCAACATTTTAGTATTTTTAACTAAGAAAAGAGTTACAAAATTATTAACGATAATGTAAAAATGGCTAATATTTTGATGCATTAAGAAAGATTTGGCTAATTAATAATATTTTAATAGGTTTGGATAATATAAAAGAATATAAATTTTTTTTGGATAAAAATAGACATTATATAAGAGAATATTTAATGATAAAAACGGTAGAGATACATATTTGATACAAACCCATAATGGAAGAGCATGGTATACCTATCAGTAGGGGTTGAAGTTTGGGTTGTGGGTAGTAGATAACCCACAAATCGCACTAATCTGCACTCATTTTGGGTAATGATACCCACAAGTTATTGGTAGTGGGTTGGGTGTGGGTTAGTGGTTATCCACTATTCACCGCAGTTAACCCACAAAATCCACAATACCCACATCCATTATATTTATTTACTGTATTAACTTTATAATATAATAGTATTTGAAAAGTAGGAGGCCAAAAATTAAAGTAGCCACAAAAATCAAATACTCACCTAAACAGTTTTATGTGAGAATTTTCTTAGTTTATAAAATACTATAATCGAGAGAGTGGAGAATAATCAATTCATTAAAAGTGGACACCTTTAGTAACTTTTATCTGTATATTTTTTTCTTTTGTGCGAAAGAAAATACAAGATCATATTTAATTCTCATATTCCACCCCTAATCGATTAAATATGAAATCACAACTCCCCGACACAAAAGTTGAATGTTAAACTCGAAAAGAAAAATCTCCACGTTGAGTAAGATCGATATACAAAATTGTATCTCCACGCAACACAATTGTATATCAGTATAGTCTAGTTACGAACAACAAATACGTTACCGGCAACGGCCTCAATTCCATGTTTGCAAAGATTGACTTTTACGAGTAACCACATTCAACCCACACCAACACGTAGTTGATAGTGGTTACCTACTAACCACTGTGGTGCAAAGTGTGGGTAGCATAATTATAAGCTTTAAGAAGACTCAAGACTCACAGTTTCAAGACAGAGTTGAGAAGCTGGGCTTTGTGACGTGTCGATGCCCCATTTTGTGGGGTAGTGGCTCCCATGTAAACTATGTAAACTCCATCTTTGCCTGCCTTGGCAGTTGCTGCAGAGTCTCCCAAGGAAAGCAGTAGGGCGATACAAAGAGCATAGATGAGAAAGTAATGGGCCTTCATGGCAACTTGCAACTAAACCTTATGGTTGTATTTAAGTTTGCTAGCAAGCAAGGCTATTTATAGGAAGAAAATGGTTTTTTTTTGGGTTGGCAGAAAGTCATGGATCAAACGACCAGATTAACATCGACTCAAAGTGCGATATTGATCATGGCGGCTACCCATTATAGGTAATGGTGGTGGTGGTGGAGGTGGTGAAACTTGGTGACTCATAAGTGCATGATGTGATCCTCTATGCATCCATAACATGAGTACATAATTTTCATATTCGGAGCAGGACTCCTCGAGATAAGTATTTGTTTATTTTTTTTAGAAATTAAGCATGGGTTAAAAAGTTATAAAGGCTTCCGTTATGTTAGCTACTCGTAGCCTCATAATTTTCTCCAATTTCCTTTTGAATTCGAAGATAATGAATATCGTCCAAGCGAGATAAATCTCTCTTTTATCACATTAATGCATAGTTATTTGCCCTCTCCAACTAGCCATGAAGACTGCATGTTTTCCAAAAGAAAATCTTACTAAATAAGTCAAGATATGGTTAACTCAAAAGATAACTACTAACCCAATGGGGCGGGCGGGGCGGTGTGACGGGTATCTCAATACTCATTTCCGTCCCACACTACTGTGAGTCGGGGCAGATAATATTCGTGAGGGTATAGGGCGGGGGTGGTCTACTTTCTTTTACATAAAATACACGCAGAATTTACTATTTAGGATAAAGCGAAGGGAAAATACTTTGTGAATGAAAAATAGTAATAATAGAACGGGCAATTAAGTCTAACTAATTGAAGAAAAATCAAAATATGAATAAATACTGTAAAAAATTGAGGTACATTGGCCAAGAATGGGGCTGGTCGGAAGTAGATACACATGTCTCGCCCCACGCTACTGCGGGTCGGGTAATACTCATCCCATCATGGGTCAGATCTGATAATACACGTGCATCGAGTTTAAATTGCCAGTATCACTACTAATTTAATTAAGTTATCTCTTAAATCCACATTTGTGTTAAGATTTAAGTGCCTCTGCACTAACTCTCCCGATACTGCAATCTGAATCCATACAAACCTTTAGCTAAAGATGGAAACCTAGCAACCCAACACCAGAGCTTTAAAATATATTATTAATGATTAAACTTGGGGCATTTATGTATTTAAATTATTCCCCATTTTAATTCAATTATACATGCATAGAATTTTAGGGAAGCAAAGTCAGACTCCAAATTACGTAGTGGACCATTCTGAAAATGCACTCACATGTCTCGGTTACCCTATCAAGGAATCTAGTGGTGGTCTGGTGGAATTAAGTAGAAATTAGGAGGAGGGTGTAATTCCACTCAACTTTAAAATACAAGTAAAATTATATTTTTGTACAAATTTAAAAATTAAAATAATCGATAAAATTTTAACCTTTTTCTCCACCAATTACCACAGTTCAAATCCGGCGCTAATTTAGATTTCTGACTCAGCCACTAAAAAAAGCGATACGAAGATAATTGTAGATTTTTTCTTCAGCCCACTCTTTCATGGTGGATAGGGTTTTTCCTAATACATGTAAAGTGGCAAACCAATTGCTTTGTCTAGTGTTCATCTACTTGACTTCAGCAAAATGTGCCCCCATAAGAATCTAGAAGGTTATTCACTCAACAATAAGCAGTAATTAACCACTATGTTCAAAAAATATATAGGGATTTTCTAGAGTAATTTGAGTATAATTTTAAGTTAGGTAACTTGATTAAATCTGGACCATTAAATTATATCCTAACTAGTTCGTGGCCCCGGCCGATTGGCCGGGTTATTTTAATTTTAGTTAATTATAAATTTATCTTTTGTTTGTTGATGTACATATTCGCCTCTTTATTATAATTTGCGAAAATTTATTGTTATAATTATATAAAATTACTAAAATTTGAGAACTTAGTGAAAATCTAAAACAACGAAACTAAGTATGAAATTATAATTTCCGGATCAAAACTTGATTCCATATGGGGTAAAGTTAATGTTGGGCAAAGTTAATTCCATATGGACAAAAGGTTAATTCCATATGAGCTGAAGTCCAACCCTCTATAATAAAAGAGAAGAAAAGATTATGTTTCTAAGTTGTAATGTTTTTTTTATCAATATTTGTTGGGAATAGGAGCAAAGTAAATGGAAACAGATGAAGGTTGCATCAGTAAAAGTAAACTAAAAATAAACAGTTTATTCTGTAGGTGACTTTTACTTGTGGTTGTCATGTCGTTGGCAATTGGTGGCCGGTTGAACCTGGTTCAATTGGTTCTGATCATGAAATTCGCATAACATCACAGGTATGATTGACATGATCGATTTACATACTCTAACTAAAATGACGTCATTTCAGTAAATTTGATTAATAAAAATGAATTAATTATATATTTTATGAATATAAAAGTTAAAAGTTGATGTAATTTGTTGGATTCAGATATAAACATTTAGATATTAATGTTAAATATTGTATTTAAATATGAGTTTTTTTATTATTTTATTTGGTACGTATTATTTTATTAAGCCGACAAACGACACAAACCGATTATTCCACTGATCGTACTATTCTACTTGCTAAACCGACAGAACAGTATGAATAAACAGGTTCAACAACCTTACTTTTACCCAAAGCCGTGACAAGTGATAATAGAGGTTTCAGTAAATAAAAAGATACGATTGTATTTTAGTGTGGGACATGGGATAGTGGGAATGTGAAAAATAAAAGAGTTGAAATTAGAAAAAGAAACAATAGCAGTAGCATTTTTAGGCGAAGAGAGGAGGGAGGGAATTGACAAATTGAACCCTCCTAAATATGCAGGTTGAGCCGGAGATGCTGATGTGGCAAAAAAATTTCACTGACATTGCCTTATAATTACTAGCTCAGTACCCGGCCCGTTGGCCGGATGCATTTCACCAATAGTAGAAACAACAATGCAATTGTTCAAGTACCGTATATTTTTATTTGGTATCATAATAGAATTCAAATTATTATTCAATTACTGGAAAAAAATAGGAAAGACAAATACATTTAGTTGCATGTATTTACGTTCCTTAAATATGTGATAATCATTATGATTTATTCATTATATAAATTACGGATTGATACATTATTGGGATATTTTTCTGACCTAATGTTAATGTAATGTTATATTGGATAATCCGGTTAACCAACTAACCAAATCAATTAAACTTAGTTTGGATAATTTGGTTGTTGTATTAGTTTGGTCGGTTGGTTTTGATATTTTGTCCTTTGGTTAATAGAATTTATGTTTGATTGATTTGGTAAATACCATGATAACCATTTGAACATCCCTAATTACCATATTCTTTTATCTTCTTCTGCATTTTAATAAAGCGAAACTTTAATGATTAATTTTTTTCAAATTTTAACAATAATTTTCATCCAAGTAGAATTTTAACCATATCTCATTTCAAAAGGGAAATAAATCGACTACTGATTATGCTAGGTAATAGGGATGAATAATTGTATATATAGTGGGTGCTAGTAAGTTTATTTAGGATTCCTATGGGGCATGGGTCAAGCCCACAACACCCACTTAATCTATAAATTTGCAATTAAAGAAAAAATCAGCGGAGATATATATGGAATTACCAAGCAACCCTCCCTAGCTATTTGGAGAGGCCTGCAAATATTGAATTAAGGAGGTTCCAGCGTAGAACCTCTATACATTATTGGTAGGAGGAGGTAGGATGTGTAGATCACTTTTAAACGATTGATTAAAGGGTTAATACCTTAGTTTGACCCGAACTATAGACAAACTTTCTACTTTGGCTCGTGGTATCGGAAATTACTATTATGGCCTAAACTATGCAGCATACTTCCTTATTTGGCCCGAAGGCGCGTTTCACCGTCAAATTAGATTGTTCTAGGTTCCAGTTTTAATTTTTTTTTGGTTAAAACCAGAATTCTGGTCTGCGAATTTTAGATTGTTCTAGGTTCGGGAGTACGGTTACGTGTGGGGAAGTGTATTCACACCCCACAACGCCCCATAACGGGTACTACGTAAATGGATAAGTTTTTTAGAGGTCGGGTGTAATATTAACTAGGATTTGTTTGTGTATTTAAGCGTAATATTCGATTATTTTTAATTAGATTTAATGTAAATTGTTAGAGTCCAATTGGACGATGTTATTGGTATAAACTTGAATTTAAAGTTACCAGTTTCCACGTCTATTGACGTAAAAATGGTTTTTTAGATTGGTTGGACTCGAACCTATCGGTTTCCTACATACCCGGGTTAACCGGGATCAAAGTCCACGTAGTTCGAATAAAACTTTGATGATTTAACAAATAATTTTAACCATGTTCCACCGATCGTGGTTCCGGACTTTGATTCGTTTTGGGTGTAATTTTTTATCATTTCCACTGAAAGTAATTTTCGTATTATAATTTTGTTAATGAAATTTAAATTGATATTTGCAAGGCTTTTAGTATTTAGGAGGTAATTCGATGTATTGGACAAGAAACGAGATAAACTTAATCCGCATCTTAACATTTGGTATTAAGGATATTAAATAATGAAAATTAAATAGGACGATTAAATTGACACATAACGGCCCAGCAGCCCAACTGGCCGAGGTGGTCCTAGATCCCGTTCGACCCGAAAATGTGGGTTCGAATCCGCAGCCAGCATTTTTTTCATTGATTCTCGTTTTGGTGTAGCTAAGGGGGAAGGGCAGTTTGGTAAATGGCCAAAAAACGCGGTGGCAAGGGAGTGTAATTAAAACGAAACCCTAGGGGTATGCTAGTCTTTTTTCGGGTGGGTATAAATTTGTCTCTTAAATCGAAAATGGAAGCCCTAATCAAACCAAAAACGGCCGCCACTCTCATTCTCTCAAACCTCTCCAACTCTCGTTTCTCTTCAAGAGAGAACCGAAACCCTAAGCAGATCTATCCTCCTCTTTCTCTCCCTCTCTTCTCTCTGCCTCTCGTCTAGAACCAACCAAAACCCTAGTCTCCCTAACTAAACGCCTCTCTCT